AAATTTTCCATTTCAATCTTTTTCATCTGGCATCTCATGTGATCAAATGATGAAATCGATCATCATGATGCTCTGGTTTTTTTTTGTTTTGTACTTCACCATTCAATGTTTATGGACTCGTGTCCATAATCATCATTCCGATTCGAATAAAAAAAAATAGATAAAAAACTTTCGGAATAACGAGAAAAAAAAACATAAAAATTCGTGACCAATAAACGCTTTTTTTCTGTTTTATCAAGCGGCAAAAATCATGTTTCAAAAAAACGGCTTCATCACCGTATGTTGATCATCAGCAGCATCTTGTTAATAGCGATGACTAATGACCGCGAACCATTTGAACAGTGAAAAAAAAATCATTTCAGGCCGATTATAATCATCATCATCATCATCCATAAATCGAGACTTGTCTTATCGATTTATCTGAAACAATAACTAGAGTATGATGATGATAATGATAATAATGATGATGATGATCAGACATTTTAAAAGAAAATTTAGGAATCTTCATCCATTCCAACAACATATACAACACACAATGGCAATTAACAAAACAAACAAAACAAAAAAAAACAAAATCTAGAATGTATGTTTAAATGATTGAAAACTGGATCGGAAAAAAAAGATTAAGCCATCTCTATATAGATATATGTGAACTGAAAGCAAAAAAAAAAAAAAAAAATCCAATGATAATCAACAAATTCGTGTTTTCATTTTGACTCGTGTGTCATTCATTCATTCATTTAATCAATCAATCAATCAATAATCATAGTGACTTGTTTAGAATTTTAAAAGAAAAGAAAAAAATTTTTAAAAAAACCGTATTGATAGAATAGGATAGGATTGATTTGTTTGAATCCATTGATCAAACATTAGCCAAGGGAAATGGCCACGCGAATGGCCACATGTTAAGATTATTATTATTGGGAGAGAGAGAGAGAGAAAACAAATTCACAATGTTAGATTTAATGAATGAAAATTGAATGTTTGATTTGTGTGTGTGTGTGTGCGTGTGCGTTTGTTTGTGGTGGTGATGAATGGAATTGAAAAAGATAAAAAATTAAATAAATTGTTATCAAACAATATGAGCAAGCAAACAAGCAAGCAAAATAAAAAGAATGTTTAGGAATTTCAATCCATCCGTAGTGTTTGGGTCAAAGGGCAAAATGTAGTCATAAATGACCACATTGTGATTATTTTTTTTTTTCGCCATCCACACTTACTTGCTAAATCAATAATTTTTTTTTTCCTTTCAATATACACATAAACACATTATCATAAAGGTTAAAGGTGCAAATTTCAATAAATATATACAATTTAAATTTAAAAAAAAAAAATTCTTTTCATCAACATTGGCAATATATCGTTGATTTATTCATTCGATTAGATTGGATTCATTCATAAGAGAAAAAAAAATCAACCCATTTCAAAAGAAAAATTCAATTCAATTCAATTTTTGGTAAATTATCACAACAACTATCATGAATGTAAACAAACAAATTAGAATACAAAATGTGTTTATTATGTGTGTGTGTGTGTATGTGTGTGTTTGATGGACATACACCACCTAGTTCCGGTGCATTTTATTATACGAAAGAAAACCTTTTATTTTCTCTTATCAATTTCAAGTATGAGAGATATTATTTGATTGTTTTTTTCATTAATTTATCATTATTTTTAATGGATAAATTAATGGAAAATTTTTCATTTTTCCTGTTTGTTTATGATTACGTTCTATGCTATACTAATAAACAATTTTCATTTGAAAAAATAAAACTTTTGAAAGCGTCTTAATAGATAGTGGATATAGAATAATAATAGAATAGTTGAACTAATTTCGAAAACAGCAACAACGATAATTTTTTTTTTTTTTTTTTGTCACCTACCCACACCCACACATATATACGAATGTTTTGAATGAAAATTATTAATTATATATCATTATCAACACATTTTTTCTTGTTGTCAATGTTGTTGTTATTCATTTTTGATTGAACAATTGATTGTTACCAATTATACAATTATATTTATATAATATTATGGTTGACACCATAGATCCAGAATTAGGTAGCAAAAAAACAAATTCATGTAGAAAATTCCAGTCCAGTCACCACAGTCACCACCTTGACTTTTAACCATTATACGAATTATTTTTCTGAATGTTTCATTTTATCCCAATTATATTATATATATTACATTCAAAGTTGTATAATAGATCTAAATATAGAATTTTAGCCAAAAATAACTCATACTAGAGTTTGAGACGTTTTAATTGGAATAATAATGAATGTAAACAACATATGGGTCCCTTAAAATTATGTAATCAAGAATATATGTGTGGATACATTTTTATTTATAATAGAGTACACACACACACACACACACATACCGTAGGGACTAGATACCAGAATAAGCTGGAATATTCTAATTCTAATGAATGGAAAATGACAAAAAAAAAAATCATGTATAATAATAAAAACCAAATGATCTTAGGTGAAATAAAAAAAAAGAAAAAGAAAAGAAAAGACTTTTTGTATGTTTGTTGTGTGTGTGTGTGTGTGTTTGAATAAAAAAGAAAGAAAATTTTTCTATTTTTTGATTCCATATTCATAAAAGAAAAATCGACAGTTTAAAGTATTAATAGTAACACAATAACCAAACAAAAAAAAAACGATGAAAATTGTGAATTTGTGAAAAAGATTTTTTTTTTCAACGAATCGATGACAGTAATAATAATAAAAAAAAGTTTCCGATCTTTCTTCTTCTTCTTGATTTCACCGGAACCAAGAAAAATAATTTCCAATTTTTTTTTTGTTTGGCTAAAAATGGAATTTGTATGTCTAAATTTAGAATAAAATTTGGAAATTTTTCCGAAGAAATTTTCGAAAGATTTCTTGTTAAATTCGACAGCGGACAAAAAAAAATGTTATGATTATTTATGTCATGGTAATGAAAACAACAACAACAAAAAAAAAATTCATACCAAAAGAATTACAATGTGACAAAATTGTAGATGTGTCAATCATATTTGTTGACAACTTTTTGATTTAAGTGGCTTCAAATGAAAGAAAAAAAAATCGAAAATCTATTTTCATTCATATAGATTATCGTAATTCTTGGTTGTGTGATCAAACGCTCAATATAGCCGCCAAAAAAAAAAAAAAAAAATAAATAAAATAATAATAAGTTCCATAGAAATTCTATCTCTTGATAATGAGTACCCAACAACAACAACAACAAAAATGCAAGAGATGAAAATTCTAAAATTTCATTATTCCACTATTTAACCAAATGAATGGAGAAATGGTACACGAAAAAAAAATTAATTAATTTTGTTTACATTTTATACTAATTCAATTTCTATATATTCATTTGAATTTAGAATTGGTTATTTTTTCGGTTGAAAAAAAAAATTTTTTTTTCATCGTAAATGTAAATTCTGTGTGTGTGTGTGTGTCATCATAATGGTAATGAGTACAGGCTGTCATTTGGTTTTTTTTTATTTGGTCGGATTTTTCTATATATAGAGAAGAGAGGTTCACCTCTCCAATCATATGCTTTATAAAAAAATTTTTTTTTCATATTTTTTTTCATGTATGTGAGTGCGTTACACATCAGCTTATTTTTTTCCCATTTTGCCAATTTTTTTTTATTTTCAGTGCATTTTTTTTTTTTTTTTTTTAGTTTAGTTTCACAATTTTGATTCCATTTTTGTGTTTTGTTTCATTCACCATCAAAGAATCACCATTGGTTGAATTTTTTATCTAATGAAAAAAAAAATTTTTTTTTTGTTCAACTAAATGATTCACATTGAGAAAAATAAAAATTTTCAAACCTCATCACTTAAGATTCAAGAATTATTAATAAAAAAAAAAAAAAAACTAGATCAACTCTCTCTCTCTCTCTCTCTCTCTCTCTCTCTCTCTCTCTCTCTCTCTCTCTCTCTCTCGCTGCAAACAAAGATATTTTTAGATTACAAAATCAGGCAACACACGTTCAACATACAGGTCACACGTACTCTCATTTGAAGAATTGAATGAAACTAAAATAGTATATACGGAAAACAAATGACAAACATGAAAACAACTGCCAGTTCCGGCTAGTTATATTTGTTATTATTAAATTGATTCTTATTCATTTGTGAAAAAAAAAATCTTAAGTTCATCCTGAATCTGTGATATTTTGAATGAAGAATTTTGCAATCGGATACAACCGAATTTTTCGTCTGCTGCTACTGCTACGTTTGTGTGTGTGTGTGTGTGTGTTGTGGATTCTAGCCTCACCAAAAAAAAACCCACTTATTTTGAGTATGCGTGCAACAACAAAAAACAAACACAAAAATGATTCGGCAACATTGTATATTGCGAAAAATTGACTTTCTACAAAACTTTCACAATTATTTAATAGATTCTATTCGATTCTGTTATACCTACACGCATATATATATATAGTAGCCATTCCATTTTATAATAGAAAATTTTTATGAATGAAATTGAAAGAATTTGTATGTAGCGATGTATATGTAGTTTATACGTTTATATTTGGCTGACGATAATTGAATGTGTGTGTGTGTGTGTGTGTGTATGTATGTGAAATATTCTCGACAATGACGTAAATAATATTATGAATGATGCTGATGGAGAATAATAATACGGTACGCATCCTCATAGATTCTATGTAGTAAAATCAATATACCAATGTGTATGTATGTGAAAAAGATTTTGTCGGAAATCCGAGACCGGAACCATGTCCATCCCTCGGGTCCTAACGGTGTGTGTATGGGGGTGGAATTGATTCTTGTTAATGTTATCATCACAATCTGTATTTATTTTTCATGTGTGTGTATATATGCCGGCAAATGATTTTAGAGATAATCATTATTTTCAAAGGTCAAATAGTGATGATTGGCATTTTGAAATAAATGTTACAGGTATCATATATGGCCAAATTTTTTTCATTTTTATCAAAAAAAAAAAAAACTCCTTTATTTTTCAGAAACTTACCTGTTTGATTGAATGATGATAATAATGGTGGTGGTGGTGGTGATGATGATGATGATGGTGAATGACTAACACTACTATTACTACTTTTGCTGGTACTATGAATTTGTTTATCGAATCTAATATTACTTCTATGGCAGCTACCGCTATGATGATTATTGGCCAATGAAAATGATGTAATGATTGGATGAAGATAATCAGTTTCGTTTTCGTTATTATTATTATTATTCTGAATATGTTGGATATGATTATTGATATGATTATTATCATTCGTCAATGATGATGATGATGATGATGATGATGATGATGATGAAATTGATATGGATGTCAAATTATTATTGTTAATATCATCCAATTGTCGATTCAGGCAATTGAATAATTTTAATTTTTTAGCTTCAAATAGAAATTCTTCGTCAATTATTGAATCCAATTCGTCTATGTCTTCACCTTCTTCGTCACCGTTTTCGTCGCCTACGAATCCAATTCCAATATCGGAATTTATAATCATTAAATTAGTTGTCGTTAATGTTTTAGCCGTTGTTTTCGAAATAGATGTCGTTGATGATGTCGTTGTTGTTGTTGTTGTTGTTGTCAACATTGACAAATTCGATTCATCCGATGTATCCAATTGATCAATTGATGAACAATTAGTATGACAGTGAGGGTGATAATCATCACCAGCACAAACACAATCAGCAATCAATGTAATTGATGAATGAAAACTTTCAGTTGAACTATTCAATTCGTTTGAATAATTTTGTCGTATATGTCGTAGATATGGATTTCTTACTTTTTCTTTTTCAATCAATCCATTAGATGTTTCTGTTATTGTTGTTTTTGATGATGATGATAATGATGATGATGATGATGATGACGTTGAATGATAATCGATAGATTTAAATTCACTACAAATAATGGGAAATGTTTTCTCGCTCATTGGAGCATTTAAATGTTTATCAATAATGGTATTCATGTCCATTATAATCATGATGATCAAAGATTAAGCCTTTTCAGGCTTACACAATTATGATTGATAATGATAATAATAATTTGAATTATAATGACAATAACAATAATAATGTCGAACTGGTGACAAACATTTGCCAGTTCGATATTGTTCATTATAAATATCATCATCATTTTTATTTTGAATTTGTTGAATTTTTTTTTCCAAAAAAAAGTAATATTCCTATTGGAACTCAGAAATTACATTGATCATTGACACACACACTATTGACAAATGAATGTAAACATCACAGAGACATTAACAATTTTTACATTATTCGACGACGATAATGGTGATCCACATTGGTTGAGATGAACATTTCGAATGATGATACCGGTACCATTGTTTGAAACATTTAAATTCAAAAAAAAATTGTGAAAAAAAATTCTGCGTACACTGTTCACGCTATTCACTAAATAAACTAAGATAACGATTGGCCAACGACCGATAGAAATAAAAAAAAACTGAAATGAAATAGAATAATGTAGCAACTGTGAATGGAAATGGTAAAAAAAACAAAAATTCTACAATGAATCGCGCATCGTTTTTTCATCAAATTTTGGTGAGAAAAAGTATTAGAAAAAAAAAATTTCTGTTCAACTTTTCTCAATGTTTGATTCATACAGAACGAAATTGTAACTGATTGTCAAGTTAGTTGTGAATTAAAATCTGAAATAAATAGCGGCATGAACAAATCGAATCAAAAAAAAAGTCGATCCAGAATCACACACATGCACACCGGTAGCTATAGTCTGTTCACAATATCACGTTTGTATTAGAAGAAATTACACAAGAAAAAAAACCAAAAACAATTTTTTTCTACAATCATCACGTCAATGATTGAATTTTCTGGTTGCAAAACCAAATGGGCAAGCGACTAATATTTCCCACCGGTTACGTTATACGTCACATGCACATATATATATATCGCCGCATGCGATTCAATCATCCGTCGTATGTTTTTGGTTACAAAATTTTCATTCATAGAATTCATGTGTATAACTAATATATTACTATAGAAAGAAGATATGCACCTACAAATACTATATGTACCGATGGGAATGGAGCGGAACCAATAATAATAATGGTAGGCTTGATCCAAATGGAACAACAACATCATTGATGATGATGATGATGATGATGATGACGCAAAAAGTCATGCTATACTGTTTGGCAGTTTATCATTATTTTTTCTTAGCTAGATCATTATTGCTACACACATGTTATCTGTATGCATTTTGTTATTGTTGTTGATGTAAGTGTTTTTCGAATATTATTCGGGTATATATGATTCTACATTCATGCGTCATTATCATCATCATCATCATCATCTATGATCATCATAACAGGCATCTTTATACAATCTAGATTTCTATATAAACAAAAATAAATGAATACATTGTGTGTGTGTGTGTGTGTGTGTGCGCGTGTATGCGCAAAGATTCAATGTCGAAATGAAATTGTTTCAAAAAAAAATTTGATCTTGAAACATACATGCACAATGCAGGTATATTTCATAATAATAGTTACCGATGGTTATCATGTGAGAGACAAAAAAAAATGGGAATTATCATTATTATCATACATTGTGTTGGAAAGGCTGTAAAGATGTTTTCAAAAAAAAAAAAATTACAAAGTTTCGTTTTTAATAATAATATATAATAATAATTTTAATTCTGTTAGATTTTTCCTCATAATTCGATTTAATAATTGAATTTTCGATTTTTTTTAGAATCTACAAAGTTTCCTAGTTGCAATTACTTGCATCCATGAATTAATTATATTCCATTTGTTGAATAAAAATGAAAGATGAAATCTGTTGTTTTTGGAACTATTTTAGAATTGTAATTCCAAAGAAATAGTTTGAAAGGTTTCATTCACTGTACTTATTTGCATAAGAAAAATAGAAATTTCCCATATATTTATTAATTTATTTCATTCATTTTCCAATCTTCATTATCTAGGCTAAAATTCAATCTACCCTTATCATCAATAATGTCATCGTTGTCGTCGTTGTCGACATTGGCCGGAACTTGTTGAAATATAAATCGAATGAAAAAAAAACAAAAACAACCAAAACAGTCATGAGTGAAAAAAAAACGGAAAAAACACCCACTTCAATGGGAATGAGTTTGCCATATACACAAAAACAATAATAACAACAACAACAAAAAATTTTATACAAACACAAATAAACATGGATAAAATGAGATGAACACTTATCTTTTTGCACCTTTTTTTTGCCAAAATTCCAGAAAATTTTCATCAAGATATATAATATGATCATCAAGTGAAAACACAGATGGTAAGTGTTTCATGAATTTATTCATCATTCATTTATTCATTCAGTCATTCATTCGGAAAAAACAACAACAACGACAACAAAAACAATGGAATTTGTGAATTGGAAAATTTTCTACAGAATTTTTACATACATATAATATAATAATAATACTAAATTCTGCAGGTCTGAATTCTGATTTTTGTTATACGCGTGTATAGAATGAATCAACATGTACCAGTTTATTCATTTATCAGGATTTATATTCATTGTTTGTGTGTGTGTGTGTAATATTGAATTAATCCGAAAGGAATAAATCGGTTTTTTTTTTGCTCGTTGATTAACTGTTTGACTAAATCGGATTTTCATCATTAATTTTATTTTCATTGATTTATTCATTTTTCATGGTTGTTGTTGCTTTGTTTTGAAATGAATGAATACCCGGATAAATAAATAACTGGGGAGAGTGGAGAAAAAAATGCCTCGGATATAATCCCGAATCAAGTGTGATGAGAAATTAGAAAAAAACATTCTTGAAAGATGAAAACCCTTTTTTTTAATTCTCCATTATTCTGTATTGATTCGTATGACAAAAAAAAAATCCAATTAGCCAATAATCGATTGAACATTGATTATTGTTACCTTTTTTTCAAAAACATTTTAGCAACGGAAGTGTTTTATTAAAAGGAAAATGATGTTTTTCTCTCCATTCATTCATTGATTATTATTATTATTATGTGCTAACAAGTCAAAATAGAAAGAGAGTGTGGTAATCAAACATTAAAACAAACAAACAAAAAAAAAGAGATGAATATCATCAATGGCCATCGGATGTATGTAAAATTTTGATGACCAAATTTGGACAAATAATTTTTGAATGCAATAAACCTCGATTGTGTGTGTGTGTGTGTGTGTTTGTATATGTTGATTCATTTCATTCATCAAATTTTTTTTCAAAATATAAAAATGAGAGAGAAAAAATGTTTTTTTTTTTACGCTTTCTCTCTTTCTCTTTCTCTCAGTATATTTTGAATGTGTGACATTTATGGATTTTTTTTCTCTTCTTGCTTTATCAATACAATATACGAATGATGATGCTGTTGTTTTTGTTTGGTGGTTGACAAACAATTTTTCCATGATATCTTAATCACCTTAACACACACATAAAAAAAATAAACGGAACCACCATGTATATTTGGTCAATTGAATTTCGATAAGATGAAGGTGAGAGCTGAGAATTCAAGTTTTTCTTTTTTTTCCTCTCCATTCATTTCAGTTATTCAAGTAAAAAAAAAACAACTTGTCGTCCTCCATATAGTTCGACAATAAACAAAAACAGGAGAGTTGAACAAAGTTAAGTCGACGATGTTGATGTATACGAGAAAAAAAAACTGTTGATGTATGTGTCCTTATTTGGATGTTCCGTTCTGGATTTTGAATTACTTAGCGAAATAGTTTTTTTTTATGAATGAATGATGGCCATTTTGGAACAAACGATCGTCATCATCGTGTTCGTTGTAGTAAACAACAAGTTTTTTTGTTTTGTTTTTTCATCAATGTTCGTCATTCATAATTTTATCTTTTAATAAAATATAATCCCCTTGATGATGATTTCCATGAATGAAAGACAAACAATTACAGTGTAGAGTATCTTGAAGTAAATTTTCTATTTTTTTTTTCATGACTGAATTTACGATGATCACATTCATTTCAAAATCATTTCTCAATCAATCAATGAAACTTTAACAAAACAAAATGGATCAAATATTCATTCATGAAAATTTACGAATGAATATATGATTATGACTATGACGTTTTGTTATATGGATTTTATTTCTTAATCATTTTTTCTTGAGAAAAAAAAAACGCTAAACACAGTTATTATATATATATACAAGATATATTTAGGCATATATAAATGTTAAGATTGTTCTATTGTTTTTTTCCATGAGGAAAATTA